TGCAGCTGTAGAGGAACAGTTAATGAGCCTAAACTGGTGAGGTAACTGTATTTACTGATTTCTTCTGCCTCGGATACCTTGTACCTTAAGCAGGGAATTTACCCCTTTTGAAACTCCAGTATTTTTTTCTGTTTCTTCTACAGCCCTTGGCAGAAACTCTTTTTCAGGGTTAAGTGCCCACAAGAAAGTATCCCAGCTGAGAGGACAGAGGCACCAGCCCTTAGCCTCAAATGAAATCCCTCCGTTTCCAGGCCCAGCCTCTCAGGGTCTCAGTCTGAAGAGCAGGTCTGAAAGCCCCACTCTTTAAGGGTAAACAGGGCAGCATGGTCACAGCAAAGGGATTGTGAAAAAAGTCCAAAGCAGCTAGAGAGTTGCTGCTTCACAGGCTCAGAAACAACTTCCAGAGAAATCCACAAARTGTGGTCCCCATCCAATAAAGGGATTGCAATTTTGCTCTCTACAATAAAAAAATCCATTCACAGGACTAAGATCCAGGATGTGAACAATTACTGAACACAGTATTCAGTGATTAGCAGCCCACTTCTGAATTGACTAAATTTGACTACAGCTGTGAAGAGCCAGTACCTTTCAAAATTTATACCACAATTATTAGGAAAATTAGGACAAAATTAAAGAGCCACACAAAATTGGTGGATTATTTCTAAAATCCTGGATTATTTCTAAAATCCTAGCTGAGTTTTATGCACAACACAGAACAAAGTTAAATTGCTTCACTGTCCTATTCACAAGCCCATTTGATTTATGTCTCATGGAAACTGCATACTGATACATGATTATTATATTATTTTTCCAGCTAAAACCCCTGTTTGATAACAGCCACTTATTCTCAAACACAAGCTTCCCATATCAGCACTACAAAGTACTTATTCGAGACAAGGAACCATTAGCCTGCACCACAAAACATTTMTAATAGGCATTATCTAACAGTAGCATGACTAATACTTAATTGCATGGAATTCAGTTCTATCTAAACTTGGTTTGGCAGCAGAAAGCCACTGGCCAGATCTCACTATTCCACAATATGTGGAACTACACCTACAGACTGATTAACTTGTTTAATATTCATCTCACCTGCACTTTAACTAGCAACCAAAATAACAACACCGTGCTTGTACATGTCACAAGGAGACAAGATTAAAGCAGAGGTGTCTACTAACCAGCACAGCAATGAGGGCAAAAAGGCAAAATCTTATCCAAACACACAGATTTATATGGCTTTATCTTGCAAAGAAGGAATAAGTACTTATTTGGAAGCAGACTTTGGTAGTCGAATACAGTCTCCTCGTCCAGCAAAACAGTATTAATTTGAACAGAAAATGCCAATAAGGTAACTTGCATTAGCCATGTCCAATAAATAAATAAATAAATAAATAAATAAATAAATACAAGAAAATCACATATTCAAGAGCAAAATGATACTGTCAAATAATATTAAAATAAAAAAGAAAACCAAACCAAACCCACACCAACAAATCAAACCTGCAATCAGTAGAAAATAAAAATATCTTCAAGGCAAAAACTACCATTTTCAAAAGTCACAAGCAGCAACAGACACAACCAATGCCACAGAGCCGGTCATTTCCACACGCATTCCTTCTCCAGCGTTTCTGCCGCTAATTGTTACTATTTGGGGAGTTGTGCCGCAGATCTGGAAGTTGCCAGAGGTGCTCCATCTACACACTACACTGCCAGCATTTCTGATAGTGAAAGGAAAAGCAGAAAAGGAAGTTAAAAAAAATGTAACAAAAAAAAAAACCAACCACTCAGAAAGTCAGCGAGGCTGAAAGACAGATCCTACTACTGGCTGAGAGAAATCCCTGCCCACCTCGCTCCACCACCTGCCAGCCCGCGGCTGCTCCCAGCCCGCCCCATCCCATCCCATCCCCTCCCATCCCATCCCATCCCATCCCCGCTGACCCCTCTAAGGTGCAGCTGCGGCTCCGCGCGTCGCTGCTGCTCCCCCTTACGCGGCTCATTATTAACRGCAGAATAAATTCCTCACCAGAGCTGGAAGACCTTAGTTATGAGAAAAGCCTGAAGGATTTCTTACTGTTTCTCGTGCTGCATCACATTTAAAAATCAGCCTAAATCACTCATTTAACAATGAGACCAAAGTTTAAACATGCTAGAAGTGTAACCTTATACCACAAAACTCGGGGTGGGGGGATGCTCCAGTGACTGGCACTGCTTCCTTCTGCAGCACTCATGCTTATTTTATTTATTAACAAATGTTGCAAACATTTTTGCAGTTAAAATTTTCTGTTATACATGCTGATCTCCTTATTTTCTTCCATCAAGATTACTGGCAATGCAGACTCACATCACTCCTCTTCTGTTTCCATTTTCCATCTCTTGTTGAGAACATTATTCAGCTTTAATTCACAAGTGATCCAATATTGAAACAAGGGAACACACTGGTCTATAACCAGAACAGGAACAAAGAGTTCTGAGCTCTCCATCACTTAGTGAATATGCAACCCTCAACAACTCACATACTTTGAAGCAGATTTCTTTATTAAATTACAACTCCATAAAACTGTCCCAACAAACCAAATGCGATATGAGAGTCTTAATCCTCCTACTCCTAGTCCTGTCTTAATCCTCCTACTCCTAGTCCTATCCCTCAGGAATATGTATGTATTTTTACGAAGCTAAAGAAGCTGTATTAGGTTATAAGTAAGCTTAGTATTTCTGGCCTAAGTAGTTTTCACTCAACTTTCCCATCACAATGTCACAAAGACAGAGATTTACAACTTTCAGAAAAGTATAGTTCTATAAYGTAACTATGCTAAACTTTTCTGGAATGTAGTTACAAACAAGGTCAGGTTCAAATCTCATAAAGCAAGCTACACTTGCAGCTGAGAGTTGTCTCTTCATTCTAAATTCACCCTCTTTAAAGCAACATATTTCTGCCTTGTGGACTGTGACTTTCTGCACTCCCACTTTCCTTTTCAGCTCTTCCAATATCACATTCTTCAAGTACCTCACTCTTGAATTCTGATGAATTCTTCTTTTGATGATGCAAAAACCTCTGATCCATCTTTCTAAATACACTTTCCAATTCTGAGCACTAAATCTTCCTTCATCCACAWTTTTTCACTTACCATTGTGATTAAAGAAAAATTCCAAGAGATTTAGCATTTTTCTTTTAAGAAACCTCTTTGCAATAATTTAATACTAGAATTAACTTCTGTTTGCAYTGTCATATCCTTAGGGCTGAAATTTTTATGAAGACTGCCAAATCTACACAGCTACTTTGATTTTCTGTAACTTACAGARAAGGATAAATTGGGAAATTCTTCAAAATAAAATTATTTAAAACAAACACCCACAACCACCTCTACAATGAATGTACTCCAAGTGTGAAAGAGACAGGTTTGAAACTTAATTGAAGTTATGCAGATCACAGTTTATTTAACATTTATACAAAAGAAAAAAAATCAAGGCCTTAAAATACATGTCCGAGATCTCATAATGAGATCATATTACTGAATCTATAATACTATCAAAATGTGGTACCACTTAAGCAATGGCACGTTTAAATGTTGCAGTAAGTATAAAAAATATGTGGAAACTCTACTTTGCATTAAATTACCCAGTAGTTTACAAATGTGCTGTAAAAGGGAGTCCATACTTTGCACTTATTTGTTTCAAGCACTTTTCATACTCATTGTTCAGTTTCATAGATTCCTGTACAGCATGCTTTAGATCTTCTACCTCTTCAAAAAAATCCTAGAAAAACCCMAAAATAGTCACTTTAAACTCTCTTTCAAAGACATTCTCAGTAGGAGCTAGTCAATAGTTCAGTTATTGCAGAGTGCAGACACTTGCTATATTTTTATCAGTGCATAAAAGCTGAGTTCTGCAAACACAGCTATGGTGAGAGATACAGCAATCAACACAAGCTTAGGTAATAATTTAGTAATTTCTGCCCTGAACACACGGAGTTACGTTAGAACCTGGAATACAGACTAATAACAGGAAAGATTAATTTTCAAAAAGAAAAAAAATACTGATTTACCAGACAGCTACAAAACAACAGTCCAACGTGACAAGGGAATAATGTCACAYTCTGATCTTTTTTAAGTGAAGTCAGAAGCTGCAAGTGAAATCAGAAATTGTTGGGAAATATATGGAGAATRTAATCACCCAGGACTTCATTTCACCAAATCTTGAATGTTCTAGTACCAGGGTSACAATGTATCTACCTATAAACATCTATATTTGCCATATTCTCTTGCTTGTTCTTCCAGATTTTTTTKKAAATYAACAGTTAATATATCTCATATGACATATCATGACTTAAAACTATCTCAAAAAAGGGTCACTGATAAAAAGCCATAGCCTCAGGTTTATGCATCTCTCTCCTGAAAGATGAAGCCCTCATCCACAAACTGCCACTGATTCCCAAACATATGGATCTAGAACTCAACCGGGCTCAATGTTCTACAAGTTACACATCCAATGAAGTGTCACCCTCTGTTACTGTGATCCCTGCAATGAAAGCTACCATAATGTTATTTCATTTGGGAGAAAGGACTGCAAGGTAAGAAAAAGATTCTAAAAAAAGAAAAAAAAAGCACAAAAAAAAAAAAAAAAAAAAAAAAGAAAAAGGAAAAAGAAAAAGAAAAA